AATGTTGGGGCTGGTTTCAAAATGATAACGGGAGGAGGCTGGGGAAATTCTAATGCTAGGAAAGCACAACAAGGGCTGCCACTGCAAGAAATCAGGTTGCTTCAAAAAGTACTGTGAATGCTTCCAGGCTAACATTCTATGCTCTGAAAATTGCAAATGCCTCGACTGCAAGAACTTTGAAGGAAGTGAAGAGAGACAAGCTCTGTTCCATGGTGACCATGCAAACAATATGGCATATATTCAGCAGGCAGCAAATGCCGCTATAACGGGTGCTATTGGATCCTCTGGCTATGCATCCCCACCAGTTTCCAAGAGGAGAAAAGGTCAGGAACTGTTATTTGGGCCAGCAGCTAAGGATCCATCTATTAGCAGGATTGGACATTTTCAACAGGTAATTGTAATGTGAATTTGACAAAGGAAGATCTCCCGCCTTAGTAGAGAAGTATGATACTCTTTTATAAAAATTTTAACAAGCTAATAGACTTAATCCACATTTTGTTTAAAAAAGAAATTACCTATTCAGCTTCTGGACAGTTTTTTCTATAACTTCTATTTAACTCAGGCAAACAATATCAGAGCTGCTGCACCCTCTTCTTCTTTGTCTTCTGTCTCAGTTGCTCGTGCAGGTGGAAATGCAGCATCAGGATCTTCAAAATTCACATATAGGTATATCTGGTTGTATTTGGGAATGCATGCTATTATGCATTGTTTGAATACTAAGTTGTAAATTTTGATCGAAGGTCTCTCTTAGCGGACATTATACAACCTCAGGATTTGAAGGAACTTTGCTCAGTTTTAGTAGTTGTAGCAGGAGAAGCTGCAAAGTCACTTGCAGGTAAACTTCAGTAGGAAGGTTCAAGCTTAGATTTCAGTGTAAAAAAAAATGAAACATGTTTTCTCTATGTCATGGTTACTGATTGTCTCAATGTGGTTGCATGTAATTGTTCTTTGGGGAACAGGGTCAATTACTTTGTTTTAAGTACTTTAGAAGACATTGGTCCCAAGGTTTATTTAAGTAAGAAATACAAAGAGAAGTTTGAGAAGAAATTCCTTTCTAAAAAGTCCGTAGATATATCTATTTGGTTTTGAATAGTTTGTAATAGAAGGCTAATTTAGGAAAAAACAGTAGAATGTTCAATTTGAAAGTCTCCATAGTCATATCTTTTTAGTTAAAAAGAGTTCCACAGATCAAAAAACTTATATTTTAAAGTTAGTGGAACTGTGTAGATGCAACCTTGTGCTTTCATTTTGTTTTTGGAAATGAAAAGTGTAACATATAGTATTAATATGGCTACCAAGGGGTGCCAACCCATGTGCAAAAGAATATACAAGTCTATCAACTCGTGAATAAGATTTTTTATATCCTCAATCGATTGTGGAGAATAATCCTATAACAAAAAACAAAGAGTCTAGAATCATCTGTTCTTAAGTAGATTAAACCCATTCTCATCATCCATCCCATCAAAATCTTTTTGTTCCTCTCCGTCCATATCACCCAAAAGATGGTAAGTAGTATTAGTTCCACATGTTACCTCCTTTTCCTATTGCTCCTCGACGTCCAAATATCCTCTTTGACTGATCCTGCCATCACCCAACTAGTGCCTAACAATCCATATACCATAGTCCAATGCCTGTACACCACCAAACTTCAAAGTATTACATGACTACAATTCTTCTTTGCCCTCTTGTAAAACTTTCAAATTTTAAGAACCTGATACAACGGAAGTTTTGTTTGAAAAGATCAAAAGTACATAAGCTAAAATCACTCGTAAGAAAGGCTAAAACTTTAAAGAATAATACTAGATTATGTTAAAATATATCTAAAAACTGTTACAACTAAGTCCTTTTATAAGGTTTGTAGCAAGAAACTGAGTATTAATATGAAATCCTAAGAATTAGGAAACTAACTAGAAATAAGAAATTCAAGGAAACTAGGAAAATAAATCTTTAAAATTGAACTAGGAAGAGACTAAATAATGAAATAATAATACTTAGAATAAAATTAGGAAACTTGTGCTGCATCAATCCCCTCCTTTTGAAGAAAAACCCTTGAGTTTCATGGTTGGCAAAGAAGACTTTTCAGGAGGATAGTACTTGAAAATATTGGTAACGTTAAAAGTATTGGAGATATTCATATGAGTGAGAAGATTAATCTTATAAGCATTATTACCAATCTTCCTAAAAGAGACCAATCTTTTTGTCATTCAGCTTGTTGTAAGAACCTTGGGGAAAACAATGTTTGTAGAGATGAACTATCACCAAATTACCCTTTTTGAACAATTTAAGATATCAATGTTGATTTACAACTGTCTTATAATGTAAATTTGCATCTTCTCTATTGTGTTTGGCTTCTTGGTGAATTCGTTGTACACACTCTGCAAATTTCTCTATGCTAGGATTGGTATCAGCAAAGAGAGGAAGTCAAATTAAGTCGACTGTATGTTTTGAAACACTGATGTAGACAACTTTGAAAGGAGTTGATGTGGAACATAAGATCAACAATGCATTCGAACCCATACATACACAATTAATATAAAAACTTATTCTCTGAATAAACCTTTCTTACTTAACTCACAATCAACCTGTGATTGGAACTAAGGTAATTGGATAAAGAAAAGGAATTGATGAAAACACCATAAGAGCTACCTTAATAAGTTGAAATCAATTCTCCACTCAATAAGAAGATTGGATAAACCTCCTCAAAGAACAAGTTAGCAGTCGGTTATTTAAGCTTGAAAAGCTTTGTTGTTTTATTTTTGAATTGAATTGATTGATTGAAAATAATCCCAACGAGGCCTAGTAATAGATGTAGGCCATGAGATTCCTAAAAGAAAAAGGACTCCTAAATAATCAATGACTCCTAACTATAATGCTTATCTTGGACTCTTTAAAGATCATAATTTACACGTGTTAAATTTATATAATAAGGACTCTTTACTCTTAAATTAAGGAAGAACAAAATGCAAAGACTCTTTAGGATATAGCTGACCATGTCTTTGGAGTAGAGTGTTCGGCAAGGACACCTAGATTGAGATGAGTCTTGGCTTTGTAGTTGAGTAATATTTGGCCATACTTGGATAGGATGAAAACTCTTGATTCTTTATGAGATTTGAAGTTGAATATCCAACCATGATGAGAAGAGTGTACATCAAGGATTGTTCCAAGATGTGTGCTCAACTTCCAACACATGTACAAGGTGTGAAATAACCTGAGAGTCCAAGAAATTAAGGATTTTTGAAGCTTAGCTTGTAGAGAGGTGTGTGGTTGAATGATCATGCTTCGTAGGACTCCTTGTTGATCGGTTAGTATTTGACTATGATATTTTATGATTTAATTATTTGAGATGATGTAATTAGAATTTTACGAGAATAGTAATCTCATATAATTAGAATTTTATTAGAATAATAATTTTTTTATCTATAGGTTAAAAATTTTATAAATATCCCAGGTGTAACAACATAAAGGGTGTGAAAAAATAAATTTTATATTTTTTTCCTAAAATTAACATGGTATCAGAGCCAAAATAAGACTATTTTAAGGTTCTAATTTCAATATATTTTCTAAACTCTAAAATAACAAAATAAGTTGAGTTGATACTCACTTATCGAGATCTAATCTCACCACCACTCTAGATAGAGTCGCAGCCTCATCGCATGACCGCCCTTTGACTCAGGTGCCCGTCTCCAGAATGTGTGAGCCACACGCGCTGCTGGAGCAGAAGCGTGTGAGCCACACATGCTGTTGGAAATCATCTCCTTTGGCTCGAATCGGCCTTTTAGTGTGCGCACGGGGACCGACTTGCAGATCCGGCGCATATTTCCCTATGTTGTGCAAACTTGACCGCACCGGAACAGATTTCGCGATCCAGCTCCTCCACACGCGAGTTGCTCCGACTGTCCTTATCTGGTCATTTTTCCGGCTCCTCCGCGTGTGTTCGCCTCTGGTTTTGCGGTACCTGCGCTAATCCAGTTCCTTCACGCATGAGCTGCTCCAACTGACCTTCTCTAGTCCTTTTTTTGGCTCCTCTGTGTGTGTCTGCCTCTAATTTTGCGATACGAGTCCTGATTCGGTTCCTTCGCGCGCGAGCCGCTCTGATAAGCCTTCTTTGGTCCTTTATTCGAGTATCGCTGCGTTTGTCGCCGGACTGGTTTGTTTCCGGTCACTGACTCGGGGCTCGCAGCATATTTCCCTTTCTGATCTAAGCTTGTTGTTTCTAACTCTGTAGGTGTTGGTTAGAAGTTTTGTTCTATCCTTGTGAGATTAGTTACTGGGTGTTGTTTTTTCTCTTTTACTTTAAAGCATGACAAAAATAACAAACTCTTCAAAACTTGATCTGCAATTAAATCATGTGTGATATTTTTGCATAAATTTGAGGGGGAGTGTTGATTATAATATTTTATTATTTAATTAGTTGAGATAATAAAATTAAAATTTTATGAGAATAATAATATAATGTAATTAGAATTCTAGTAGAATAATAATTTCCTTATTTGTAAGTTAAGAATTCAATAAATAATTCAGGTGTAACAACATAAAGGGTGTGAAAAAAATAAATTTTATATTTTTTTTCAAAAAATCAATAGTTGAGATGAGTTATAAATTGATAAAATTCTTGTCGATGAGTTGGATTGGAAGTCCATGATTTATAGGATTCTTTGGTGCTTAGTTTTGGTGAGTTGTAGGACAAGTTGTTGGCCACCTCTCCAAAGGCCTAAAACATTTGACTTCCTTCTTTCATGGGTCTCTAGACACGACCCAAGACTTCCTTCTTCATGGATCCATTCTTGAAAATAAGCTTAAAAGTTTTGCTTGAGAGTTTTGGCTCATGATCTTGTGATTGGTCCACTTGACATAGTGATATTCCCTCCATATAGCACAAGTGCATCTTGAGTTGGGTTCATTTTATCTTCATATGGACGGACTTCTTCATGAATTGTGTCTTGATCTCCAATAATGTGGCCGCGATCTCTTAAGCTCATGTGGCCATGAACTTCCATGTGTTATTGAGCTCCCATGTGGCCCATTAGGATTTGTGCAACCTTAATATCCAAACTGTTATCTTGAGCCTTACTGCTCTGGAATTGGCCCATTTTCAAACAATTGGTGTATTGGCACCATGATAGTGCTAAACCTTCTAATAAGCCGCTTGTAAAAGATAGCTAAGCCTTCGAAATTTTGCACCTATCACTTTGTTTTAGGGGCTGACAATTCCTGAATTGCCTTCAGCTTGGCATCATCCACCCGTATACCATCTTTTCCCACAATAAATCTAAGGAATAAGAGATGATCAGTGATAAAACTACACTTCCTAATATTGATATACAATTTATTAGCTTGTAAGGCGATAAAAACTTCCTTGAGATGCTCCAAATGCTCATCCACATCTTTACTATAGATAAGGATGTTATCAAAATAAAACACCACAAATTTACCAATAAATGGGTGAAGAACTTGATTCATGAGCTGTGTAAATATACTTGGCGCATTAGATAATCCAAATGATGTCACTTGCCATTCATAGAGGCCATCTTTGATCTAGAAAGCTGTCTTCCACTCATCACCAGGACGGATTCGAATATGGTGATATCCACTCCTTCAATCAATCTTAGTGAACACTACAGCACCTTCTAATCTGTCAAGTATATCATTAAGGTGTAGAATTAGGAAGTGATACTTGACTGTTATTTTGTTGATGACACAACTGTTTATACATATTCGCTGACTACTGTCTTTCTTAGGAGTTAGTAATGAGGAATTGCATAGGGGTCCATGTTTTCCTGAATAAAAACTTTATGTAACAATGTGTTAACTTATCTTTGTAATTTTTCATACTTA